AAATAATGGTGTCTTGAAACCAGTAAATGATGGCAGTTCGAGGCTAGGTACAAATTGAACGATATGAAAGCGATACGCTTATGAATTATATGTCCTTTTCCGAAGTGCACTATCCTTCAAATGTTGTTGGTCTCCAAACGAATCGCAGTACTTAGACGTCATGCACCGGCCACAGCGCAGCCAATAGTGATTTTGCAACAAACGATTCCTTATTGTTGCTTGCGAACAAACAAAAAAACGCTGACGGACCTCTAAGCATTCAGTCGTAAACGGATTTCTTCGGCGTAATGTCAGTCCAAAGACTAAGGATGTACGATAGTCATTCCGTCGAAGGCCGCTATTCGAATAGAAACAAACGACGTCAATGTTAGTACTGTTACGGCAAAACTCATTACTTATCGGTTCACCAAGGGTCTATTGGCTGTCGAAGGACGAGTTTGTAGATAGAAAAGAAAATGTTCTAATATCTTACTATACACTATAAAAATGTTTATTTATAATATCTTCTTACACAAATTTCAATTCATATGTTCAAGTAATAGAAGGGGCTCGTTAAAAGAACATTATATTCTGTTTAACATTATTTCAATATTAATCGGCAAAGGTGGAAAAGTAGTATTATTTCAAAACAGAAACACTAACAAACAATAGGTTTAATTAACTGATTGGGGCATTGCCGTACCAATCTCAGTCGTAATACACGAACACAGAAATATCTTATAATCATTAACCCTCTATAGCGAACAGAATTTCTAATACCTTTTAACCATTTCCATAGACACACTGCTAATAAAGTAGCTAGCGCAGAATGAATGAATGAATGAACACCAGTCAAGCGTCGAGCGTTTTCAGATTGATAATACTGGCAATTTGGTCACCGCCTCATCGAACTGAAGCGTCGTTATGAGCAGGACGTTACGCACGGCAAAATGAGAAATACATCTGATAACGACACGCGGGTAAAGTTGTCCTACCGCCCTAATTCATGTCGTTCCTACAGAAACTGCAATATACCATAACAACCACCGCTATTACGGCTACCGCCGGCGTGATCCATCGAGCTACCACGGATAGCCGATACCACGGAACAAGCTAATCAAAGGCAAGGCCATCTTTGCAGTCGTCTACACGAAGTCCTGATAGTATACTACTACAGCACATTAAATAATGTCAACAGAATTGTATCAAGAAATCGTCAGCTTAGCTTACCTAGCGAGAAAACGCAATGACAAACCGAATCCATTTAATGGTGCTATGCGAATTTGATAATGTAGTTGGACTAGATAGGCTGTAAACCTACTTCGTCGTATTCCAAATCGTCCCGTCCTGATTTTCTTGGCTGTCAGAATCAAGGTGACCCTTTGGACGAACGGGCAAAACATCACTCTTGAAACTGAAGTCAGATTTGTAAAGAAGATGCCGTCTGGTCGGCCCAGAACTACACCCTACGCCACCTCTCCTAGATCGACACTTTATTTGATTAATAGGTGTCAGAAATCTCAATAACGATTCCGGGTGTAACGCAATATCTGTTCTTAATCAGGTTTCAGATAGAGTGTGTCCGAGTCAAACGACAACGTCGAGCACTATATCAGATGGACATAGAAGTGCACATGAAGTCAATTCATTTAATACTAGGATTAATTTGCTGCGTCCTTTGATCATTTGGACGTAAGTGATCCTTCTTATTTTCCCGCAAAGAGGCATCCACTACAAACGAGGACTAAGCTCATCGTTGGTGCAACTGCTGTCTCCATAGATTATCTATCCTGTTTAACCAAAATGTTTAAATCATAGATGAACCTCAAGGCTTGCGGTTTATGGTATTCATTCGACTTCCAGCTAGATGAAAGATCTAAAGGCAGCCGCCTAAATAAACATGTAATAATAACACTCACTGACTATGACTGTCACGTAGCACGATAATTTTCTAAATATATACTCGATGTTAAGGCATTCACAAGTAAAACATTTCGCGGCCATATACCGCAACTAAGTTAGCGACCAACAACTGCTTTATGAACCTAAAAATTGAACTGTAACAAATCTCTGCTAGTGAGCCTTAATTGAGAACGCCGAGTGTCCTTCTAAATGTCTAAGGCCTTCGACATGATGTTTATAACCGCAAAAACAAAGGCTTAATTCACTCATCAATTAAAAAACAATGACGCACTCCTGCGCCAGACGAACTGTCCAAGACTGCACGGTGACTCCTGACTGAAACCGTTCGAATTTCGGGCTAACTACTTGAGTGCGTTTCAACAATACACAACGTATAGGTGATATATATATACATGCTTTTGTAGCATCCTACACTGCATGCTTAGCATTTCTCAACCTTTTATTTGACAAAATGGTGCCTTTGTACTTGGCTCGAGCTATCATAGAAACCACTGTACGTAAGTAATGCAATGCTATGGCGAAGTAAGGGCCATGGAGGGAGAACTCGACTTTCGTCGTAGTTGACTGATTCTAACTTGGACATCGTACGCCACCCATCTCCTTTTCCGGCTCGTTACTGTCTTTCTACGATGATGGTAGTGCGGACATACCGTCCGCAGTGGAAACGTCTTCTAAACGACAAAGCTAATATGGCCTTGTCGCTTCGTGACCTCAGAAAAGACCAGCTCCCATACCTCCACTGCCGTACGATGACAGCTATAGAAAAACAGTATGGAAAAAATCGATTTGGTTGGGAACAAACAACTTTACGTGTCTGATCGGTAATGTCTTCGCGAAAAGGCACTTCACATAAGCCCTCCTGCAAATCGAGACTACACAAAAGTGCAAGTCACGTAAATAGAATAATGCTTCTTCTTTAACATTATTTTTGATTGTTCTGTCGTATGAATGCATACAACTTTCGTATAATAACAATCGATCATCGAACTGTACAACGGCGTACATTGCTAACTCGGGGATGTTTACCAATCTGGCGGACGTTCCGTTGCTCTAAATGAGCTTTAACAATAGCCTTAGCTAAAGTGACTGGGGTCAATAAGAACTAGCATAAGAGATCTTATATTCTAGGTTCAAGCATTTTCTAGATTCGCCCTTTATGCTGAATCACTTATATAAGTGATTTAGTCACAGAAGTTACAAAAATCCCTGTGTGTCGCAAGTCAGAATTTCAAAGGAAGGCACGACGGCGGGAAGCTGTTTGGCCAGTCGGGTCCCTTTGTAAAGAAACGCTCTCACCTACCGTGTACTATACGCCACTAATTACATCACCGATATCATTATCATCATAGACAATCTAGCGGTAGTGAAGAGAGACTGCAGACTGCGTCTCGTCATCAGTATTTTGATCGCAACAACAACAATATAATCACACCAATCATCAACACCATGACCTCGATCGACTTTTACTACATTCGACTAGGGGTAACGGACATGACGATATCCATCTTGTCGGCAACGGTTAGAGCGTCTCCTCTAAACAGATCGACTAGCGCTCATGTTATCAAGTTGCCATCTATTACTCTGTATCATGCATAGAACTGACTTATCCTATATATATGTACTAGTCGTAGCAGCTACCGGCGCAGAGACTGAGAATTTGATCGGGCCCGTTGCCAGCTGTACTGAAGCCGCTTATGCGCCTGAGACTTTCATGTCGGCGTTTGGTGAGCTGCCTACGAGCTTGACACGTCGTTGAAACGAACGTGATTGCCTAATTAAGCTTTTAGTCAAAGTGAATGTTTACGACTTTTTGGCTTATACATGGGGACTGCAGACGCACTGCACGCTAGCCTATGTACTATCGTGATCTATGTCCCGCTAACACATCCCGAATTGACAATCATTAACGCGGATGCGAAGATTCCTCTCAGCCACTGACTTTGTTGTTGCTGCTGTCGTGAGCCTTTATTGAACGTCACACGTCGTCATCTTTGTTGCGTTTAATTAGCAATAAATTCCAAACTGTAACACTTCGGACCTGTACATTATATTAGGCAGATCCTGCGCTCTTAGTCTATCCTCCGAGCAAAGCTCTGCTGCGTTCATGTTAATGTTACGAATTCGATGCGTTTTGGAAGTTGGCGCCGTAGCTTCTAATATGTCTAGCAGTCCTTTCCTAGGGTTGCATCATCATATGCAAGTTCGCAGATAGCGGTTCCATTCCTTATTATTAATAAGAAAATATCATGTCCACGCAGTCGGCAACCGTCTGCTGCGGGACAAAAATCTTGCGGCTCGCAGCCACCCACAAGCGAAGTCTATAAAAGTCACGTTAGCAGCAGCGGAACGGGCAGCGCCACATCGGCGGGCATCGTGACTGCCACTGATGCTACCGCTATGGCAAGTTTCCGCGCTGAGGCTTCGTCATCCCCAGCAGTCGCCGTCAGCGACAATAACGAATAGCGAAGCTGACGGAGTCCCCCCGTATATCACAGTCAGAAAATTGAACGCGGGATTCGCAAGAAGAAAAATAAATACCGCTACTTCTAGATATAAAACTGGACAATCAACGCGAGCAATGCGCACCAGCACAGGCCGAAGTCGAGCGGCTGTTGACTGTGTTCGCGGCTCGCAGAAATGGACTGAGGGAAGGCCCACGGCCTGACCCTGTAAAGGGTCTGATTTGAATCTATGCCACAGAAGTAGAAAAATACTATGCTAAAGAACATAATTATACATTTGGAGCCCAGCGAATGTCGCGTCTAGGTGTACTCCGAGCGGATCTTATAAGGTAATCAAACTGTTTATACCACGTAAGTTCACAACCCCCCCCCCCCCCGCAGAACGTTCCATTTGCTCAGAGAAGAACTTTTGCACAAGGCCTAAGTTTTTCATTTGTTTCCAAGTTTAACTTCTTTGAGCGAAGCTAATTCCTGTCGACAATAATCGGTAGCAAGATTAAACGTGCCTTCATTAACAAGTTACTAAACTTCTTATGCAGTTGGCGCGCAATCAGCTGGTCCGGAGGAAGCACTTTCGTTTTTTCGATCAAAGTGTGCGCAAGACCCACGGTTTGTTTTCTGCGACACGCAACTTACCTGTGCTGATACTGGTTCCAGTATACTGGCAATCGTTTTCGTATGAAACACGGGCATCTTGATGCTCGATCCTTCCTCTACAGCTCACAATTGCAGCTGAATCGTAGAGTAGGTATTAATCGTTCTCTATCTTTTCAGCGTTTGTACGGCCAATGTCCAGGTATGACGATGCACAGTTATTTCTCCGCAAAGATAAAGCACGTTTTCTATGACACGCAAAATTAGAGTTGGCAAAAACGACAGTTAGAAGCTCGACAATTCGACGGTATTGCTGAATGCAATAGTATCGTCGAATCAGGCCTGCGAAGATTGGTGTCGCGAAGCAGTCGCCGGCAGCCGAGGAAAATAAGCAAACTTCAAGACGACACAAGAGAATAACAACGGCGGGGATAAAGTGCTCGTAGCAACAGCACTAACTGTGTGTATGCTGAGTTGGATTTGTTATGCAGCGCTATTACAACTGGTCGTAGTAATGGTGGGGGAAGTGGGCACGAGCGTCGTCGGCTGAGACGTAATCAAGACAATTGGGTTCGGCGCTTGCTGCCACTGCCTCCACCTATTTAGGCCAGTCGTCGTCTAACAGATCGGGCCACGGCCGCTACTGTACAACTAACCATTGAGCGCACCAAGTTTGGAAGGAAGTTTGGAAGCTGCCGACAGCGCCCTCGGTGGCGCCGGCGTGAGGCTCGGCAGAGCCACATGACTCAAGCGACACTTAACGCAGATCGATTGGTCGCCAGTTAGCCAGCCAGCCAGCCAGCCAGCCAGCCAGCCAGCTAGATAGCTGCATGCCCCTGTGCGTGTCTGACGGACGACGCTCGGAACGACACGAGCAGAGTTGACGGTTCGCTATTTTTGAATGGACAAACGCTGATGGTGCTCGCTGAGTGGGCGACCGATGCTGGAAAGTTGGTGCCAATGGCAGCTGCAGCAGTGACTGCACACAGACACACGCGCGCAAAAAGAGCCTGCGCTACAAGAGCGTATCAGAGAATAGTAACTATATCAGACTTTATTACAAATAACAATAACAGAAGCGGTCAATGAGTTTTCGTGCTTATATAAGAACGTATGTCAGGTCGATTATATACGCAAGGACTGTTTGTATGTGTATGATTGATCTGCCTTGACAGAAGCAATGGCAGCACAGACAGGCATCAATATAGGCGCGACCGCTTACGGACTTGCGCTGCTAGAAATTGGTTGCGATCGCCATTTGACAGCGATTGAATTAAACTCGAAGAAGAGACTAAGTTCTGGGGTAGGGTAAGATGTCGTGTGAACCCAACTGCATGCCCATATCATGAGGACATTGCGATTGAAAGAAGCGTAAGAGAAGCGGCATCAACAGCGACACGGAGCTACCGGGAGTCCGATAGCCTTGGCCTGAAGCAGTGACCTCCTGCGCAGCCTCTGCTATCACCGTAGCCGCCGCTGCGATCACCGTGGTGGGAGCCGTACGAAAAGCCCTCTACGAATCGGTTATACAGCCCGGAGGCCTTTGTCCTTATTGCTCAGTGGCATGCAGGCCTTGAACCAACCGCTGCCCATTTCTTTCCGCTTTTTCAGGCCCGCTACACGCGCACAGAGACCCTAGAGCTGGTAGAGTCGAACCGGCAGAGTAGCAGGAGTCTGCCCTGGCAACGTTTAACCCCAGCTAAATGGTCCAGCACGCTAAAGGAAGAGGTAACAACAGTAATAGTAATCGAAACGATAATAGTCGGAAAGACAAACAATCAGAAAGACTGTTCTATACAGAAGCTGGATAGCAGACGGCTAGCGATATGCGCCCTTTCCACATACCCACTCTCAAGCACAGACATGGAAAGATATCGCGCTAACGTTCGAAGCGAACGAACACAGCCTATAGCGACGGTAGGAAAAGCACAGCAGCAGGAACAACACTTGACCTTATATATTATATGGCTACCTCTCCTTAACCCAAAGAGACAACTAGCCCCTTCCGCTTCTCCATTAGTCTGTTTGCTAAAGAATCGTGACGGCAGTACCAACATCTCCACGGTCTTCATGTAAGGTGGGCGTGCCATCCAAACGAGCAGGCTGAGACACAACGTTAAGCTACATTCATCGACGGCAGGGGCTGACCTGTTGAGTGGTCCGTTTGAATAGCAATACAGATTGGTAGGCGAACATCGGCCAAAAGCTATCGCTCAGGATCGTACTTCTCATATGCTAAACCGTGCTACCCAATTTGCATTACTGGAACAATTTTATTTCCTCAAAGTCTAACGGTTTCTTTCCGTCTCGGAAGACGAGCAGAAGGCACCGGCAGTATGGTGTTTTGTGTTGGGCGCATGCGTTGGCCGCTTCGCGCATCGCGTTCGTGGTGGCCGCTTCAGGCGCTGCTGTTAACCATAGCAGCAGAAGACTTGGTCGTCTGTCTGTTAGTTTTTGAATGTGGTGCTTGTCTGGAACGAGCAGAGCTCCGTCAGTTTGTCGGAACGTTAGACCGGCCTTACCAGCACATTGTTTTCTAATCGTCCTGTCTACACTAGTGAGAGGCTAAAGAGGGGCAGTGAACAGGTGGCTGATGACCGAACGCCATTCGATTGTTCTCTTCACGATACTACGCGTAGTGTGCCCGCTTAACGTGGCGTTTTGTTTTGGGCGATAACCACATTCAATGACGATAACAACCAAATGCGAGTGTCTTATTGAGCGAAATTGTTGCAGTACTGTCGGTAGGAATTCTAGGGAGCGACGATAGTCTCGAAGCGACGGGAGAAAACATTGAATAAGCATGCGGCCGCATGCACCTACAGGAGTGATTGCGACTGCCACAGCTGCTCCTGCCACTTAGGGACAGTTGAATAATGCTGATGATGATGACAACGACGACGACAGACGAGCGAATATATGTTTTGATCGGCTGAGAGCAATTACTGCGTTTGTTGTTATCGTTGAAGTAGGAAACTGTTTATGGTAGTGAAAAGGAGCCTAGAAGAACAATAGGACGTGGCTGTACATTTCTTTATACTTGCTTTTTGTAACTACGTTCTGTATTGCAACATGTTACGTAATCAGTGGCCAGTGCCGGCTGACTCACCTGATCCACACGACTTGGACGAAGTTCTACATGACCTCTATCCACACGGGATAAGAGAGAAAAAACAGTTCTTTGTCGATCCAAAAAGCAGATTAAGGCTACAACTTGCGCAGGATGGGTGCACTTTCAGCATGGTGTGTCTCGCAAAGAAGATCTTTCAGGAGCACCAGGTGAATGATGACATATCAATGGAAGTTGCGTTTCGCTGGCTTCTTAAAGCGGCCCGTGAGGGCGACGAAGCAGCTATCGCAATGCTTTTATCGAAGCGGCAGTTTTGTCCACCTTTGTTGGCTCCGTTTGTTGACAACACGCTTGAGCGTGGCTATTGCGAAGAGGAGCTATCAGCCACATACGCAAAGCGAATCGTATCGAGGTTCAAAAAGACTTACATCAACGCCGATGAGAAGGTCGTGGCCGCGCAGGTTCTCAAGTTAATTTCGGGCGAGATACCCAAATGCGAGTCGTTGTTCGCGCAACGGTTTCGGCATACGTTCGGTGATCTGTTCGCTCTCGGAATGACGCTCGCTATCGGCGGCTTTATTGGACATAGATATATATCTTCGTTCGACCATTTACTTAGTCATAAGCTTGCTCCGGCCATGGACGCATTTTTCGCATTTCTCTGCACGGTTCTCCTCATCGTTAGCATGCGAACGTACTGTGCGTTATTTACGTGCGGCATGTACTCGAAGGTGATGCGTCTCGATGCGAAATACCGCGACCGTCCACTACCGTTCAGACTTCGAATGTTCTGGACTCTATTCAAACTGTATCTATTATCCTTTTCGTGTGTTACGTCCATGATTGTTCTATCGACTCTGGCCTTTGGAAGAGTCTCGTTGACGGTATTCAGCTGTACGACATATTTGATTATGCTTGTTGACCTCGTTAAGCATCTACACTTGTGGCGAAACAGCTACCGGGAACCCGATTTGTACATCGGTCGATTTCCACTACTCCTCAAATTCATCTCAGTCGTGTGCGTGTTCTCTCTGTTCTCTTTTACCAAGACGGAGCTACAAGATACGATCATTACGCTGTCAATGACTCTTGTCGCATGTAGTATACTCTATCTCTCCGATAGCTGTTCCGTGTTTACGTTCACCTTCCTCACGAGCGAGTACTCGATCATTTTGCAAGGCCTATCAGTGACCAAGACGACAGTCTTCGTCACTATTCGTCAATTGTTTATCGGCGTGCCTCGAAATATGAAGGCTTTCATACTCCTTCTGTTAGCAATGTACGCGCTGTATTCGCTTCCACCCGGCATTTTGTTTCATCCCAGAGACACGAATCCGAGGGACATCTATGAAATCTGCAGTTATACGCCTTCATTGGACACGATGGTGGCCTGCAGTAAACTAGAGGGTCACGCCTTAACTGATGTTGTTGGCAGAGTCGAATCAATTAATCTTCTTCATCGAAGCAACATGCTAGAAAGTATTGGGGTGAAACACTGGAAGCTAAATGATGGCTCCGTAGAGATTGGAGTGGACTCCTTTGAAAAGGTCAAGGTTGCAGTCACACTCACGATTGATGACATTTCTGCCTCAGTCATACTTGACGACGACGCCCTAAGTTTGATTCGGTCTCTCAGGCCAAAGAATTATATTAGAGTAAGTGGAATTCTCGAGCAGGTGCGGACAGGGCCTGAAGTGCAACTCGCAGTTCATTCGTACAGACAGGACGGACAGCGGGTTGAAATCAAGCAAATCAGGACTGCACTGAGGCTTTATTGGAAGCACGTACTTGACATCTTCGACGAATGGAAAAGTCGAATTGATTATATTTCCGCCGCAGTTAATCGTGACGATTTACCCGATGCTCGGAACGAACTTTAGTGACGGTTTTTCTACTACAAGAAGTCAGGTAGATGGCTTTATTGATTTCAGACTTTCTTTTTATCGTTACAGCAGTATCGTACGAAGTACGTATTCTAAAGCTGTCAAATCTATAGAACATAAACCGATGCAATTTTGAAATCGTAGATACGGCGTCTTTAATAAATTCAGAGACAATACATTTGAGCTTAGATACTCGATAATTAAATTCGTTTAATTAATTTTATGAGCAACACTCTACGAACTGAAAGTAATAGCCATTAAAAAGTAAGCTTTATTACAAAGTGATACATTTTTCGTTTAGATATACAGATACATAAATACTTATTGATCTAATGAACTCAACGCAACTCAGCGTGAGCAATAAATTATTGATTTATCGAAAACCCGAACGATTTAGTTTAACATCTGTTCTAGCTTAAACCTCATTATACCTATGCTACGTATCTTCGATTTACCTTTAATAAGATGGGCTGATAAGCTGTGTGGGATAATTATTAAACTCATCGTAGTTTTCTCTCGATTCACTCACTGGCATATTTTTTTTCCGAGTAGATAGATATTGGAGAATTCAATAGGTCGACTCCTTCAAACGAAACAATTTAATTATTTACTCGTTCTTTTTTGTAACTAAATTGCTTCTATAATAGTTATCTGCGATGCTTGACGCGCTTCTTTATGCCGTCCTATACGTTCTCAATCCGAGTTGCGTAGTGTGCGAGAACAGATGTTCAGTTTCGAAAGGCCGACTACTGAATTACACCCGATGTACACCATGCTGTCCTGTACTGACAAGTACATGTATCATATACATTTATATATAAGGTACTGGTAAGGGTATAGCACCCGAATTGGCACGAACCTTCGCGGGCTGTCTGTCGTAACGAGTATGCGTTCATTCACCAATCTTGATGCTTGACATAAGCCTGTCTCTTCCTGAAGAAAATTTCGCCTTACTGGAAAAGAAAGACTATAACTATTGTCAAATTCGTTCGCGCTGACAAACCCCAATTAACATGAAAATTTTTTCTTTTTGCTTAAAATCTATAATCTATGTTATGGACAGCTTTGTTCACAGCATAGGATGCAAGGAATTTTCACATTGTCCCAGTCCTCGGATTACCACACCCTTATCAGTGATTGCGACTAAGTATATAGTACTATTTTGTCGAAAATCCATTATTTTAACATGACCAGTAGTAACGTGCGTGGCAAATCATGGCGCAAAATACACTGTAAGCGAGCTGATAACGTTCAGAGGTGTAAAACTTTGGCACGATACACTGCGAGATATCGGCCATTTATCAATCACATACATCCGACCCACCTTGATAACTGTGCGCATTTTAAATACAGTGGTAAAATATGCGAATCTCCTTCGTTTGTATGACTAGATGAAAATTAGCTATAGAACAGCATGACGTAATGCGTACGACGCATTTATACTGACATCAAAAACGTACCTGAGTCGTTACTGGTCGGATGTTTGAAAATGAAATACACCGGTATAAATACGTTTTCTGCTGTTGACATTTTTCATAAAATCGGGTTGTTATGACGCAGATGATCCGGTATCACTTCTGTAAGATTAAAATGATAAACGAGGACATTGCACGGCGCTCGAAGCACGGAGAACTAAATTACAGGTGTTTCGGTGTAATTGCGTCCATTCGAAGCAAATGCAACGGATGCAAGATCAAGAAAAACCCTTGAGTGTCTTTATGTGAATGAGAGTTCGTTAATATTTGGTTAGATAGTTGTAAGGTTACGTCTTCGCATTGTCCATACTCTATATACAAAGTGATAACTGGTTTCTCATAAAAACCAATAGTTACAAGTTCCTATCTCAAGCGGACCAACGAATACACCGAAGTCGATACTGTGTAGCCCTTGCTGCAGAGTGAAAGCCAAACAGGCATAGCCGTAGGCACAGTCACCGCCTACAGCTCATTGCTTGTATGAAGACCCCTCAAAAGTCATCTCGGCTGCAGGGGGTTGTGGCAGGGACTGTCAAGTATCTTTTGAATTTATGTACCCTTTTTTTCCATAGTGTCTCCATTCCCAGTCGGTTTTCTCCCTTCGTCACGTAGCTTCCGAGTCAACCTTCTTCCCCTCACATTTCTACTATCTGTTCTCTCTCATCGGCATCGTCTTCTTCCTAAATTGGTTTTCCGGATTCCTGATACCGGCTACACACTGCGGTCTAAGGAACAGATCAAGCAAAAAAAATAGCGAGTAAGATAGCGGTGGGGGCATAGAGGGTGCTACCAGGAGTAATCTACCTTCGACATTCGCTGCCCCGATCGAATGCTTCAATGTGTGTCGGTTACTTAGATCGAACCCTAGTTGCTGTCACAAGAGGCACTCGATAGAAGATAATTGGTTAAGCGGACCCATTTCCCAACGCAGGTTTTGGGGTGGGGTTAACAGGGAGCAAAAGTCCTTTTTTTTATTTTGACATTGTTTAATGCCAAAAATGCTAGAGAAATGTACTGCGGAAGTTGAGGTCAAAATATTAGCCTGTATACGTTACATATATAAAACAAGACGGTTCATCCTCAATTCAGTAGACAACTGCGAGATAAAATACAACATTGATTACTGACAGAAAGCATATGTTCATACTACCTCCTATAATTCGATGAATGTCATAAATGACAAACAATGACTGAACGAGTAGGAGTTCTAGCTCGTCTCACTCACCGAATCTATGCTAAGGGCTCGTCTTCTCCGTGGACTCATAAATAGGCCAACGGTCAAAAAGGTTCAGCCGATAAATGACGCTAAATGAAGAAAAAATACTTTACATAGCAAATGGGACGATGCGATTACATGCGCATATGTCTCGCCAATGGAAATTCAATTTATAAATGTTTTGTTCCGTACACAGCAATGCAAGAGATAGCGTCACCCGGTTTCAACACAAGGATTAACATCCTAGCAACATTGACAATTTTCGCCATAATATATATATATATATATATATATATATATATATATATATATATACATATAATACCTATGAAAATATACGTGTGCGCTTTAAGAATAAAGAGAAAATCTAAACTAATGAACGTATAATTTGTGTTAGTAGTTTTGTAGGTCGGCGACTGTCGACAATACACCACGTTATTGACCCAGACTAGATTTTTCAACCCCAAAAACTGATAGTTACCATATGAGCTGTATATATATTTTCGTTACTAGCGCAAATGTTTTGAGGCACTCTCCGAAAAAAAGGACTTTTGCTCCCTGTTAACCCCACCCCAAGACCTGCGTTGGGAAATGGGTCCGCTTAACCAATTATCTTCTATCGAGTGCCTCTTGTGACAGTAACTAGAATTCGATCTAAGTAAGGCACTCCGAAAATGATACGACAGTTCAGATAGACAAAATCCATTAGATTTTGTACGTTCTGTTAAGACATCAAATGACTTCGCAAAACAATATTGAAATAATTGCATCTATTGAATCTGCGATGTGCTTTTAGTGTTAATATATAATACAACTGAACTTGACCCTAATTTCAAACTTACTATACACGGATTTCCAGAATACCGTATAACATAACAGGTATGAAAAAGAAACAGGAGTATGTTTAAAAATAAGCTGAAGCAGATTTATCTTGGATTTTGTTTAGTGGATTCAGGACCCGTAGGATAACTTTGTCTTACTTAAAATTGTGAACCTGAATTTTTAATATAAGCACATATATATGATGCCTTAGGTGTCGTTGTACGTGTAGGTTGGCAGAGTTGACGTCATTTTAATATTAATTTTATCAATTAATATCAATTTTTTAATATCAGTTTTAGTGTCTATAGCTACGCTATGACAATGACAGACAGAACAGTGTCGTTAAATTAAAATTAGTTCTTTATGATCCGATCGCTTGTCAGTAACTCCTTAAAACCGCTGAAGAACACTGTTTCAAGTGTTTAAATACGTTTTTAAATGGATGGCTGTTTTGTAAAGACGTCATTTTGTTTAAGTGGTTCATTCTATCCCGTACATATCACAACTAACGGACTAAGCACTCCCTCAATATCTCGATCACTTATATGCCCCACAACCCCACTGACGCTTTACTGTATATGCACCAACAATAGAAGCATATCGTTTATGCTTCATGTGTTAGCGATTTGCACCCTAAGGAAGACTTCGCTTCATTAAAGATCAGCGGGACAGAAAGACATCAATAGCGGTAGTGTTGTTTTAACGAAAGTAAAGACAAAGAAAAAATAGAAATTGAAGGTAAATGCTTTGAGGAGTAAAGAAGAAATCGTTTTCCCCTAAATTCATCCGTTTGATTTTCTCACAGGGAACCCATTGTGTCCTTGATTCCGGCTTACATCAAACTGACGTGGCCGCCGATACCGGCGGTAATCGCGACGGAAACGGCCGAAGGCGGCTTAAAATTTTAATGGTCGGAAGGAAGCAGGAAAAGGGGATAAAAGGCAGCGGCGTTGGCAAGAGTTGCACCTTGGAGAATTCCCGTTGGAACGGAGCACCACTGACTTGTCGTTGGATAGCGAAAAAACCTTCAAACACGTAGCATTCTGTGAAAAAGATAGAACATTTTAGCGGTATTTTCAATTAAAGATCAATGTCTCTTGTATGAATAAAATGCCATTTGGTCAACAGTAATCCCACTTGAAGCGCAGATGGAAACCTGGACAGGACTTTTTGCTGAATATGTTTACTATAAAAGGTTGAGATCTGAATAATGACAGTGCTAACATCTTTGTAATAATCCACAAAAGCAACAAGCGGTAACCATTTCCTTGGATGTTGTAATTTGCTCTATGTTAAATGCTTTTAGCTCAGGAAATGCCGCAGCTTACACCTATATGAAATACTATAATAACGACATGGCCGAAATTGTGAGACTACATTTCGAATAGAACACCTACAAACGGGCCCCTGACAAACCTGAAATGGTAGGCATACTTTGTTTTGCATTTACTTTACCTCAAAACGGTCAGGCGCCAACGTACGTTTCGTAGAACATGGTGCACAGAAAACTCATGATAATTCAAACAATCTATATGTTTAGCACCGTTATCAATCGCGAGATTGGGACACCACCGATTGTTTGCTCTTGTAAATGAGAAGTGGTCTTCTTACGAAGAAATTAAACTTGGTGTGATTATTTGTTACGCAGTTATCACGATATGGTGCCGCTTACTAGAAGTACTAGTTGGGCTAAGCCGCAAAAAGGGTCCAAACAAATGAGCATCCACCTGCGCATTGTCAGAAGCTGAGGAAGATGTTTCCTGTAATTTTCCGTCACTCAGTATTTCTCCTTATGTTAAACAATCCCATCTCCAACCCCCAACAACCAAGGCTAAGAGAAGTTGTACGTTTCTCGTTCCGTCTGCTCCTTCTCGTCTTTTCGCATCGCAGCCATCCAGAGCAGAGCATACTTTAGCTTGACGGGTAAAGTCCTACACGAAGGCGCAACTCGCGCAGAAAAGGGCGATAGACCACTGGCTTATTATTCGTTCTCTGTTTACTCGCTGTCGCTGTAGTACCCCCCAATTAGTTGTTATTTGTTTTATTGTGTTTGGTCTGCAACCCTCCAGCTATAAGGTGACTACTGATTGCGACGGCTGACAAAACATGGACAGCGATGTAGCATAGCGCCTGAGTAAATCATTGAGACTTCTCATTCCGACAGAGGTAGGCCAAGGCGCTAGCAAAACTATCGTTACCGCCGGCACGAGCCACAGCAATACCTTCTTCAGGAAACGCAGCTATTTACTATAAGTGAGTTCCCGTCTTATTTCCACATTCTTCCCGCTAATAATGGCAACACCGTTTGAAAATCCATTGTATCATATGTGCTATTGTGTATGGCGTCCAGCTTTGCAGATATCGGTTATGCGTAACATAGAGAGATTATTCCAAAAATACTCCTTGTATTACCAGTCTACAGTTGAGCTGAGTAGTCGTGCCCTTTAGTAGGAATAAGATATGCTTTAGACAAGAAATTTGCAGCCGTCTGTATCGATAACGCCTATTTCAGGCTATATTTACCTATAGTGAATTTATTCAAACACATATTTAGCTATACAGTTAGCAATTAAATTTCTCGCTTATTTTGCGGAGGCATTGGCAAATATCAATCCATTAATATGCGATAAGCGTTGTTTCTTCGAACGCAACAAAGTAAAAAGTAGAGGTTTTTTACGGTAACTAAGGGTACAATGCTAGTGTCAGTTGTTGGAAATAATGACACCCCTACTGCCTAAATTTTGTCAATATGACTCAGCGATATCTCTCATCTCTCCATTTTCTACTAAAGCAGAAGAAATAGTACATGAAGTTGTTCATCGTGAAGGGTCGAGAACGCTCGATCGTTCATATAGATTATGCCGCATAGGGATGATGACGTGTGTAAAATCAAGAGCTTGGAAAGTACTAGCAGGCACGGATATCTTGGCAAGATGTCGCATAATACGCAATATAATAAGTAAGGCAAATTGAGTAAACCGGTAACCTTGGTCTACCGCAATTTACGTTGGCCGAAAATATATGCTACTACATAGTATAACAGGAAAACAACTAATCTTCGCATGCTTATTGCTAATGTTAATATTAATAACGTGTTCATATTGACATAATAGCATTTCTTAGTGTTTGTTATGTATATGTGTACGTCTAGTGTTTATTCTTGTTGTAACAATGGCATATAGTGTATGTCGATTTCTGCATTTTGTTAGGCACAAATGTATATATATTTATCTGTGAAAAAACATTTTAGGTTGAACCAGAAAAATCGGTACAACTAGGTACGCACACAGTGAGAAGGCATTGTTAAGGGTATAGTAATTTCATTTTGTCTCGAAAGATATTATTTGATAATTCACAATAACTAAAATGTTTTAATTTAACCATCTGCTCTAACATCTCTCTCTACCCCAAACCATGTATCTAGCTCGATCTCTGACTCTTCAATGTCTTCAATAAACCAAATCAACTATATCTTTCTCAACTCGAATAATCGTCAAATGAAGTTGGATACAAGCTTGATTCTCTGATTGATTCCCCTTTCACGTTGTAGAAGCTTGAAACATAAAAATATACACATGAAAAGCTTCTAAACATATTAAATAATAAATCGACTGGCAGTTTTATTAAATTGTTTTAAATAGGGAATTACCTAACACATTAAACAGAGAAACACAGATTAGCCCAGAAATATTTACACTTTGTTTTTATGTAAAATACATAAAATAGCGATTGTTTTGTTACAACTTTAGTTCCAGAATATTTGTGCTCAATCCGACGACTGATACTTAAATCAGGGTATCCTTAGTTTGAAATATTAGGTTGGGAGTCTACCTATTTTCGAGCGCGAAACTTTTTTTTTATCCCGTCTTACTCGATAACTTTAGAGTGAACATAAGTTTAATTTTTATAGTAGTGCCTAACGTTTAAAGTCTACGGATAAAGTTTTCAGGGTCAAGATTCATTTAATAATACATGACTCATATACCCATGACCTACTAACCTTTCTGATTCATTACTGGGTACAGAACTCAAAACGTATGGAAAAGTGTCACTGTATAAAATACCATTTATATAATATCAAGCAGCCTGATGCTTCATATTATTAGCCCAAGGTAAGGTTAAGAACAAATTAGCGAATTTTCAAGGTCTCACTAAATTCTGGTCCTGTCATAAGTAAAGGGCCCGGGCGCACGACGGTGTCTCCACCATGCGTTCATCCGCCCGAACTACTCGAAATTCATTGCTGTCCTATGGGTGATGGCTAACTGATTGAGGGTTCGACGTATCATCTGCCTGTCTTTGAGATACAGGTAGACTTACTGTGAGTGTTTGGGAAATGATGTGGAGATGAGTTCATATACGTTTGGCCAAAAATCATTTAGTACTAAACCGCCTGATAAGGGTAGTTTTCCTCTCGATCATGACGGCGACTGTAAACGGGAAGTTCTACGGTACCTTCTTTGCCTAAAAGAGAGTAAGTACGATTCGAGTTCGTGCCGTGATTTAGCCAAGGATTATTTGCGCTGTCGTATGGAAAATGACCTCATGGCTAAAGAAGAATGGGTAAAATTAGGATTCAAAGAGAACGAAACATCCGGAGACAGTGAGCAAGTACAGGCAAGATCTGCTTGAAGATGTCGTGCGGAAGCTTCACACAGTAGACCACATAATCTGCACTATTCGCTTGCCTCTACCAGCCGTGTGACCGACCGTAGAAGCACTGACATATATTTAAATCGCATTAAGACGATGATAAGCTTCTGCGTTTTAGTTGCCGAGTTAGTGTTTCGATTACCACTACCAAAATCAGAAGAGAAAATTCAGCAAAGCTACTTTTAAGCACTTCGTTAATTATGTCTACTAATCGACGAGTCGCACTTCTTTGGCGTAGAGCGTTTCGCTCGTTCCGCGATAAACCAAACGCGAGCTCGACCAATCTGCCGAAGGCTCAGACTGAACTAAAAGCGGAGTCCGCTCAAAAAAAGGGCAAGACTGAAGAAGTAAGTGATGTTGAAGATCACATTAACCCGATCACTGGTGAAATTGGAGGGCCCAGAGGGCCCGAACCCACGCGCTATGGTGACTGGGAGCGCAAAGGGAGAGTGTCTGACTTTTAAAGAGCTACAACTACATTGCTATTGCCGTGACACAGCACATGTTTCGTATGCATGCATATGCTATGTTACTGTGGGTCGAAGATTAGTATACTGTTATAAAAGAACAGGTTTAAAGTAAATCGTGTTGTTGTTCATGGTTCCGGTCAATTGAATTAGGTATTAATGAAACTGTCGTTAAGCGTGACGAGGCTTGGTACATTAGGTACTATGAGAGTATTTTGGACTTGTGTTTGATCGACTTCGACACAGAAGTTTCTGCACCCAACTTAATTTACAACCTCTACTCAACATTTTTCAGCAAGTAAAAAATGCATTAAAAAAAAGTTGGAGTGTACTTAGCTTCTTGTAATTTGGGGGGGGGGGGGGGAGAGGGTCCGATCAACATCTTTACGAATGGAATTTTTATTATGACATACGCAAGTGAAGCATTGCGCAGTGTATTTCTTAATTACTTAATTAAAGAACGATTTATCAGTTCCCATTGGTTTTGATGCAAAAGCCAGGTACCGGAGGCTGTCGTGCTTTACTTAACCGCGCTGCAAATAGATTTACATTGCCAATTTTGGGTTGCTTTATTCATTCACATAGTTGCATTCGATATGTCTCTATATGTGATAGTATTGATAAGCTAGAAGATGAAATAAAAGAAGCATTTGATATTCGTATCAATCTGATATGTTATTATTTCACAAGACTAAATGTTATTTCTATTTTATATATGTTTCTCCTACTCGATTCTTCATATCATCAGATGTTGTTCACGGTAGGCGTTGCGTTCTTCCTGTGGTTGCAGGCAGTCTAATGTCATGCCGACTATTGCACCGATATAAACCATCACATTTATAAGTATCATAATCTGATTCTTGTTTAATATCCAACCATGTAGGTTTATGATCATTTCCTTTACACGTATTATCTCGTTGGCCAGCTATAGTTCGCGCGTATGGTACAAACGTATATGAGTGCACCTTAAATAGATCTTTTGATTTTAAATTCATGTGAATACACGCAAAATTGTAACCTGGATCCTTTTCAATGTTATGAAATAATATTGGTACCTGCCAGTTTACATAAGTAGGGATGTCTAGCACCAACGTTATCTTCACTCTTTCTATCTTTATTAGTCTGAAAAATGGCAAATGTTGAGCTAAGCCTGGAATTTCAGCCAGTGTCGAGCCATATAAGTAAGTGGTAATTCTATATTACCACTTGATGCTTTGCATATTGGATGTGTCACTCTCAAAACTTTTGCGCCTGCGCTTAGCCCTAGAAGTAACATTAGAAAACACTCCTATGCATAGCCATGTCTTAATCAAATGCCTCCGATTGGTACCGGTGAACGCTTACCCTATGATAATCAGCACCGAAATGTGATGGATAAGCACTAGTAACCCCAGCGACGATTGGAATAGGACTACCTTTGCCTAGGACACTTGTCCGAGCAATCTTTTCTCCGTAAGTGAGTAGAGGATCAACACGTTTACGTGACACTCCCAACGGCACAAGTCGAATGGCGTCACTGTTCATGTTATCTTAAGTGCTGGCCACTTATAAAGATAACCCACGTTTATAGAAATGCTTGGATAGGAAAGGGTAATCTGTCCAGACGCGCTATAAATTTCGTGTAATACTTGTACCGTTCGCGAGTGACGGACGAGATCCAGCGTCTGCTTCATCACGACTGACTTCAGGAAAACCGACCCATCCAGCCGCCGTTAGTATTTCACTTTTCAGTGAAGAACTCGATCGAATTAAGAAGAACTCCGAAATCTTCAAACATCTCGTCTCTGGAGTTAAAAAAGGCCCCCAAGGCACAGCACATTTGCAAGGTTTTCGTATTTACAAAAACGCAATCCATCTAACATAAATCAAGAATCTGATTGGAAGCCGTGGCCATTTTGAAATTACAAAAGCAACTAGTCCATAAGCAGTTTTCTACTGAACACAGTTTTTTTGGATTCGGCTCGATCGGACATTCTAATCCACTGGAAGAAGCACTCTCTGACGCATGTGAAACATGTGTATCTGATCCAAACGATAGATATAAACTAATTGGCACTAATCACCCTACTGTGTTTGTCAATTGGTATATGAAAATCAGAAAGGTGTAACCAAATTGCCCAAAAATTTTCCAGATCCGTTTATAAGAATAGAGGTCTTTGGTAGAACAATTACCACCAAGAAAAGAACTGACCATTTTCAAGGTTGGATTAAATGTGACGAATTTTTAAAAATTTGCAACAAATATGCATACAGAGTAAATTATAATGGGAGCTCTACTGAATTTACGTCGGAATATGTATTTTATTACAAACAATATTGATTGCACCAACTCATATAAATTTCCTGGATAAGGCCCAGCGTCACTTTGACGCAGGATTTATTTCTATTATAATACGAACCCTGTTTTAATCTTGTTGTTGTCTTGGCCTTTGCTCATTTCCTTGTGGGTCTATTTTTTCCATTTACTAATACTTGGTGCTCGTAGATACCATTATCCTTCACCATGATGTATTAAGGACTTTTTCTATGTGAGCCGCACATTATGTATATGTGAGCTCCGCTAACGTCTAACCTTAGTTGTTATCGCTCCATATTTACGTGATTACATAGTATGCACATACACTATGTGCGTGCTTTTATTATTATGATACCAATAACAACAATTATTATTATTATCATTGTTGTTATTATAAAAAGTATAATGTACAGAATTATAGCATTAAACAGGGTGTACACCATCGTTCATTAATCCTCCGTTTGCCCAATCTTCTTTTCACCTCTGTTAGATTGTTTCCATTGTTTAATTCAAATGGCACCTAGATGGAGGCCACTCGCAGGCTTCTGTTTCTAATGTCTTTTTATCAATTTCACAAAACCTAATTTTTTTGCGAAATTGAATTTTTTTGTAGATAGATTTGTTTATGTTTAGTATATATCCAGTCTTTAGCAAATGGAATTCTAGCTGTTACTGCATTAACCTTCCGTTTCACTTGCGTATGTACTAAATCCTTAAATGATACCTCTGCTCGGGCCATCTTGGGCTTTCTTCATTTAGAAATTGCTTGTTATAGATGAATCAGCATTGGATAACTTGATGGGCTCCTCATTAAGAATTTGTCTGCCTGAACGCCGCTGATGCTCGGACGGCCACGTAGATTCCCTGTATAAATAAATCATGAATACATCTGGAATTGATGGAAATGTGCCTGTCACGTCTGTGATATGCTCCTAGGATATCTTTATGGTATCAGGACGGTGAAGGTCTTATTCGTATAAAAGGACAAAAATTTTAAAGTACTGCCTTGGTGAGATGTTTTTCCGGTAACATAAAAGTAAAGTGACGATAAACTGGCATATTTTACAACCGCTTAGTAAAAAAAAAGTGCATTCCGTCCCTCCTTAAGCCGTCACCAAAAATCTGCTAATTTTTCCTTACAAGGAAGTTAAGCACTGATACATTATGCAGATTCGATTGCACTATTAATGATTTATTCGCCTAATACTGTGGGAATTTTAGCTACCTTACCGTACGCCTGAATCTTAACAATCTGCTTCCTTGCTTTCTTCGGATGATACAGAATCAATCAAAGTTCACTTTAATTACAAATCTTTCGTAGGTTTAGCCTTTAGCGAAATATGGCTTCATCTCAGTGACATATCGACACAAACGAACTATCGCGTAAGTTGTCGCATGAGAGGCATTTCTTCAAAATACACAATGTTCAAAAAATATAAACTTAGGAAGTAAAAGTCGAAGGGCTTAAAATGTTTTTGTTTTCTGGGAAACGCGCACGGGCTGAATTTACCGAATCAAATGCTTACATAGACACTGGAGTCGGAAATCATAAGCCTCGTACTATCATTCACACACACATGCTCCTCTTCCAATAGCGTAACTAATCTTCCAGACCACTACAGAAAAACACCGAATCCATGAAATCTCGTGGCCTCGGCAACATTTCCCATCTGTACGTTATTTAGAAAAAAGTAATGGTTGAACGAAAGTTACCTAATATTGGATCGTTCTTTGTTACGCAATCCGTATTGTGTTCAAATCATGTCACTTTTGCCTTTATATTACATTGTAAAATGCATTCGGTCGGTGTATAGCAGCACTCGGAAAAACTCCATTTTCAAATGTACATTTCATTTATTGGAATTATAAACCTAAATGTGTTCTTTTGCCAAGCTAGAAAGGTTTTTACCAGCGCGAATCAGGTA